CTTCGAAACTTCGTAGATGCATCATGGCGATGAAAAACCACGGCTTCAAGAGGAATCGTGGGTGTGAAGAAAAAAAACCCTTCGCTAACCCATCACAACAAAAGACCACGAATCCGTGTTAAGGCTGATTCTCCTCGCAAGACACTCAACGAAAACCCGTGACATCCGCAACTCATCAGAAAAGGTTGATGCACCTTCGCCCAGCGCGCAACGTGACGCCCAACGCAAAAGAAGAGAGGCAGGAAGAAAAGAGAGAGAAAAAAGGGGTACAGATCAACAACAGATGCTCCACCAACCCAACCCCACCTCTCTCTCTCTTTACCCCCAGGAGGACAACATCGGAAGTCGAGGTTTCTTTTTTTTCCAGAAGGGAGGTTCCTGTTCACAATTTTCCGGGGCTGTGTTTGCGCAAAACACGGGTGTCCCGACATGGTGGCCAAACATCCCGTACTCAAGAACCGCATTCTACTTTTTATTTTTCCTCTTTTCATTTCGTTTCTAACCTTTGAGATAAATGCTTCCACGCCGCAGGACTTTTCAACTGAGAATTCTCCATTCATTATTCGACATGCGTCAGCATGACTCCTGAAACACGAGTAAAGACTGACAATTCCGCACAGGAAACTACACCGGCAAAAAAAGCACGGATTTCCAGAAAAATAAAATATCATCGTGCTAAAAGGGTTTACTCATCTATTTCCGACAGGCTCATTACCCAAAGCGTTCATTCCCGAAGATATAATTACAAAATTCTCCGCCGAGGTGTCCGCCCATGATTAATACACTCTACGGGTTGGTTTGTTTTAATTTCATTCCTCCTTTTTTTTATAGCAGATTATTCCCTTTCAAGAGACACACAGTTAATTCCCGAACCGTAAGCCAGAAAAAGGGATAATTCTGAACTCTGTCTCCCCCCCCCCCTCTCTTCTGTCGGATCTCGAACAGAAGGTGCAGATGGCACGTGCTCAACCAAGACGAGCCAGGTAATGACCAAGCGACAGATGTTACCCCAACTTCAGCCTGCTCCGACTCGAAAATTTTCCAGCCAGGGCACTTCAATCTCCAGACTGAGCACGAGGGTACACTCAATTCACAAGGACAACAAACCCAGTCGTCCCCATAAACGCAATTGCAAACCAAGAATCGGTTAAAGAATAGGAGCATTTGCTTGAATTGTTTGCCAAGTTGTAAAACTGAACTCCACGCATCAACAGAACAGCCTTCGGAGCAAGTGCATACATAATTAAAGGAGTACACACAAGCACAAACGCCACTTCGGCGCTTTCTTTTTCGAAACTCAAGCAGTCTGCCAAAAAATTTATTTCCCGATTTCAAATTCAGCCGAAGGAATCCGCGTGAAAATTTTGGACATAATCATGAATACTGTACTGTATTAATTTTTGAAAATTCTACAATATTCGATGCCAATTTATTGAATTGATTCTAACGAAAAATCCATCATTTTCTCTATAATCAATTGTTGATGATTTACGACTCGATCAGAAACTTCCTTAAATTCAAGCCATAAATAGATAAAATATTACTATCATTTTAAAATACGATCGTTAGGCTTGCATAGGCGATTCATGATCGCATGACAGAAAAAAGTACAGCACTGAAAATCATCACTGGAAATCCTTTTCTCATCGTACAAAAAAAAATTTGAAAAATAAAATCTCAAAAGTGAAGTCCTGTAAAATATTTTGGGCACGCAAAAATTACCGCCAGTGTCCGTCCAACACTAGAATACCCTTAGGCGTTTTATTATTAGCCCGTGAGTGAGCTGCCAGATGGAGGCAAAAATATACACCAGGGCTCAACAACGAGGTCCAATGTTCTCCGCCTCATAGCGAACAAAACACGGACCCCGAGGGAGCCAAGAGCTTCTTCTTTCCGTCGGTGTCACTGTGGAACCCGACGCGAACCATTCTATAACTTATGTTACCACGGTGTCCTTCGAAATGTCTACTTTTTATTGCCCCTAAATATTTCGTTCGACTGCGCGAGATAATTTCTAAAAATTCACGCAATTCCCGACAAGGCTCGGTCTCTCTGTCAGGTTGATTTTTATGTGCGTATCAGCAAGAAGATAAAGGGTTCGTTGCCCTTGAAGACTTGATCATTTGCCGGAGAAAATCGCACCTTCAATCTGATGAATTCTCTGATAGAGAAACGCGCCTATTTTCCTTCCTTATTATTCGTCATCTTGACAGAAGTTCACCAGCACTAGTCCTAATACGGAGTTTCAAATTTTGATTAGTACTTGACAAGAAAGCTCGGGCGAGATCTACAGTTATTCATCTAGTTATTTTTGAGAAGAGAGAAAAATAACAGAAGATTTCTGATCACTAAATCAATGCGACTGCCGCCCAACAGAAGCATAGTCGTTATTTATTAGTACTCTACACAACACTTACGCTTTTTTCAACAACCTAAGAAATTATTTCAGGAGAGCAGCTTTATCCCGGTTACGACTGATACGCCTCTTCGAACGTTCGATTCCGCGTGACCCTGCGCAGTTGGAAAAAAACTGAACAAAATATTGTTTTCTTAAATATTATTGTAAATAATTTTTGATAAACATCTCAAGCAGGCCTCTACTATTATTGGCCACGTAAGTCATTAAAAATTTCAAAATTGTGTGGCTTTCATGAATAATCGACAAGATTTAGGATGCGAATATAACACATTAGCAAAAAGATTGGCAGTTCATGAAATACAGAAAAGAAAAAATTCATTTTCTATGCAAACTGTAAGAGGGAAATACAGTAGAGGAATTTCCCGCAATTGCCAACCAAGGGGGTTTTTGCGCTCTAAAAGAAAACGAGTTCATCATTGTCGTTAACACGAGGTCTTTGACTTTCTTGAGGGGGGAGAGGGAAGTGATCGATGACTATTCGCCAGCTTCCGACACATGGTCGTCGACGACACGGCGTCATCTGTCACAGTATGCGCATCCGCGGGACGGCTTTTCTCGCCGGTTTTTTTTTTTCTCNCTGCCAGATGGAGGCAAAAATATACACCAGGGCTCAACAACGAGGTCCAATGTTCTCCGCCTCATAGCGAACAAAACACGGACCCCGAGGGAGCCAAGAGCTTCTTCTTTCCGTCGGTGTCACTGTGGAACCCGACGCGAACCATTCTATAACTTATGTTACCACGGTGTCCTTCGAAATGTCCACTTTTTATTGCCCCTAAATATTTCGTTCGACTGCGCGAGATAATTTCTAAAAATTCACGCAATTCCCGGCAAGGCTCGGTCTGTCTGTCAGGTTGATTTTTATGTGCGTATCAGCAAGAAGATAAATGAAAGGGTTCGTTGCCCTTGAAGACTTGATCATTTGCCAGAGAAAATCGCACCTTCAATCTGATCAATTCTCAGATAGAGAAACGCGCCTATTTTCCTTCCGTAATATTCGTCATCTTGACAGAAGTTCACCAGGGCTAGTCCTAATACGGAGTTTCAAATTTTGATTAGTACTTGACAAGAAAGCTCGGGCGAGATCTACAGTTATTTATCTAGTTATTTTTCGAGTAGAGAAAAAAATAACAGAAGATTTCTGATCACTAAATCAATGCAACTGCCGCCCAACAGAAGCATAGTCGTTATTTATTACTACTGTACACGACACTTACGCTCTTTTCAACAACCTAAGAAATTATTTCACGACGGCAGCTTTATCCCGGTTACTACTGATTCGTCTCTTTGAACGTTCGATTCCGCGAGACCCTGTGCAGTTGAGAAGAAAACTGAACAAAATATAGTTTTCTTAAATATTATTGTAAATAAATTTTGATGAACATCTCAAGCAGGCCTTTACTATTATTGGCCACGTAAGTCATTCAAAATTTCAAAATTGTGTGGCTTTCATGAATAATTGACAGGATTTAGGATGCGAATATAACATATTAGCAAAAAGATTGGCAGTTCATGAAATACAGAAAAGGAAAAATTCGTTTTCTATGCAAACTGTTAGAGGGAAATACAGTAGAGGAATTTCCCGCAATTGCCAACCAAGGGGGTTTTTGCGCTCTAAAAGAAAACGAGTTCATCATTGTCGTTAACACGAGGTCTTTGACTTTCTTGAGGGGGGGAGAGGGAAGTGATCGATGACTATTCGCCAGCTTCCGACACATGGTCGTCGACGACACGGCGTCATCTGTCACAGTATGCGCATCCGCGGGACGGCTTTTCTCGCCGGTTTTTTTTTTTCTCGCCTTAGGTAACTTTTCTGAAGCTACTGGATTTATGGCAGACTGTGATCATTGTTGGAAAACCAACTCGCTTCCGTGGACGTCATTAACCACTTGTTTCACCTCAACACCCGCCAACTGACTCCTCAATTACCGCGCGGAGTTGACGAACCGCAGCACTCAAATTCAAGTTTCAGTACACTTTCGCATTATAAAAATTGATGAATCATTAAAATGACCTCGACTCAAAATCAACATTTGTGACGCATTGAATAAACCCACTGTAATACAACAGGTAAAGATAAAACAGCGTTCGAAAAATGGAAGCTAAAAAGCAGACGTCGGAGGGCAAATAATGGGAACTCATATGTGGAAAATGTCGGCTAAATTACACATCCTGGCCAACATTGACCGATAGAATCACTCAAATCCCGTCATTAGATTTTGATGCCCTCTCGGGAAGGGGACGATCAAAATTGATGGATTAACGAGGAAAACGAGGAAACGACCACTACGGAATTACGCCTTATGTACATAATTTCAATTTTTCGTTCTTCCGAACCCAGGAATGAATGAACTTCAAGACACGCTTCATGCGTCAAAATATGAGAAAAGTTGCAAGGCAGTTCATGAAAAAACTTTACGATGGGGGTTTTAATTCTTCCTAAAAAAAAGAACAGGACATGAACGACGAATGAAGTCACCATGATTTCAAAACTAACAAAATTAGAGTAATTCCTAATCATCCAAGATATTATATAGACAAAACGCAACTTCCGCTTCTATGTTACAACCTAATTTTCTCCGTGATAGCATTCTCTGTAGAAAACTATACTTCTGCAGCTTCGACTTTTCTTCGCGAAATGTGACTGGAATACAGTATTTCTTTTTCAAGTTGTTTCTTTTCATGTGTAGGGCTTGACTTGTACACGATATCCAACACAAAAATTAACTTTTGACAAAAAAGGTTTCAGGACCACGAATCGTTCTTAAGCTTATCGGAAAGACGAATATTATCTAATTACACATCCTGGCCAACATTGACCGATAGAATCACTCAAATCCCGTCATTAGATTTTGATGCCCTCTCGGGAAGGGGACGATCAAAATTGATGGATTAACGAGGAAAACGAGGAAACGACCACTTGTTTCATCAAAGAAACAAGTTGTTTCTTTTCATGTGTAGGGCTTGACTTGTACACGATATCCAACACAAAAATTAACTTTTGACAAAAAAGGTTTCAGGACCACGAATCGTTCTTAAGCTTATCGGAAAGACGAATATTATCTCATCCTACTTTAGTAATACTGTACATCCTTTTTTAAGACGATCAGTAGCAAAAAAAAAATCCTGTCACATTCAAGAGGAAGCTTTGAACTCAGTCAACCTTTCAATAGCCAGGGTTTGATGAACCGTTTGATCAACAAAGGACGAATTTCGACTAAACTTTCAAAGATTCGATTATCCGGAAATAGGTAAAGTACATGAAATCCATCAGGGAAAGAGAAAACAAGTGGATGCCAACGACTCACCTCATCCTTCGTCCAAATGCATTTGCTTCCGTACTTCCGGTGTTTCGCGCTGTTGGTTTCCGACGAGCAGCCGGGTCGCAACGGGGATTCAGCCTCCTCACTCATAAGTGTGTTGCGCGGAGCCCAAACCCCACTTCACTGGATCGGAAGTTCCAACGCCAGTTCCCCTCTCCAGTTCCGAAAAATAACTTTTTATCACACAACGACGACTTCCCGACGCCGTCTACAAAAATGCACACTTGTAATAAAAACGCGCGCACGTTCAATTTACTATTTTTCTTCTTCTCTCGTTCTCCTCCGTTTCTTCCTCGGCGTTTAGGAAATTTTTCTTCAGGGAAAATGCAGTGAAAAGCGTCTCTTTTTTTTCCACGCCACGGGAAGGGGAATCAGGGAGAAATACGAAGAGTCGCCCGTTAGTCGTCGTCACCCATGGCGCCCTGAATTGACACAAAAGCCGCTGCGCGAACGGAGCCACTTTATTCCTCTGAAAAAGGCCATGGAAATACGACTGCAATCACGACACGCGCCATTGAAAAGACGAATAGGAATATATACTAATACACGTCAAGAGGTTGTTAAAATCACACCCGTTTCCGGACACTTCCGAAATTCCAAGAAGAGCGACGCGTACAAACAGATTTACCAGCAGCACTGTTTTCGGGCGATTACAGAAAGCACTTCATTTCTTCTGAATCACATAGAAATCCACTTCACATTACAGTTACAGCATTCACAATTCACTCGATGCGCTGCTAGAAATTTACAATTTCCTCCAAATACTGTAAGTCTGATCAGAGTCCAAGTCTCATCCGAAACATAAATTGATAGGTCTTCCATATGACGCGTCAAGTACATCTTAAGATGTAGCGGAAACCCGTAAATCTCTCGACTTCCGTGGAAAAATTCAAGCTGTAATAAATTACGTAATTTCCGCCGGAACTTCTGGAAAACCCCCGCCGCATAAGCATCACATTTACGACTCGTAAACGGGCTCCGAGGTTCTTCCAGGAAACGAGTCCACGAGCACGTTGCAATAAAGGCCCTAAAAATGCCGACAACAAGCTTTTTTCTTCGACATGGGAGGAGATTGCGGCAATTCCCACCCATCTTCGGAACGCTGATGAGATAATAAAGAGTCGGATGATAGCCGGCAATTCTGGCAAACAAACAGCTTAAGAAGTATCCCAGTTGCCACCCGCAATGAACCCAGAAAAAAAAACCCTTTTCCTCGATCAGGGAATGGAACATGGGCTATAAGCACTATTACGGCCCATCACGGCAAATCTTGGCAATAAAACTCACACGATGTGTTGTGAGAAGGGCAGAGGACAAAAAATATTTACAGTTATACGCGAACACGAGTCTTATCCGCGTTAATCAAAACTGCGACGATTCAAATCCACGAGTTCATCGATAAAAGAAAACTGTCAATTGTTTGTGTTCAACAAAATTCAAGTTCTTCCGGGATAATGCTTAGCCTACAGCGCATTTGTAGTGACGCACTTAGTCCACTTGTAAATTGCAAAAAAGCTTGCGTTTCATTTTTTACAAAATGTGGTTACGTCAAGTGACTATGTTAGTTATAAAGTACCTGACGTACTAGTTAAGGCTAGGGATGAATATACAGTATGTTAGGCAATAGGTCCCGTTATTCGCAATTCAGGCATTAAATTAAGTGAAGTTTGGGCTGTTCATGCTGCTATGCTCGAAACGTATGCAAAACAGTGCAAGAATTAAAAATGATAACGACTAGTGACAGTATTGACTGAAATCTATCAAATATTGCTACCATGTCCATGCTTTTGCGCCAAATGTTGCCCCGACGAAGCCTCCATGAGAAGGGCAAACAAAATTGGGACGAGATGGTAACACTGGAGCACCAGATTCAATCAACTGAACCAATCCCTCCTCCCCCTCTTTCTCTTCAAACTTTCCTTCACCCCAGATGAGGAGGAAAAAAAACCTTTTCATCGATCGCCGAAAGCAGAGCGAAGCGATAAGTGAGCTAACCCGTAACCGGAAGGACGGATTGGGCGACAAAAACAATACAAAAAAGACCCGCATTTCCTTCATACTGCGCATGAGCACATTGAACCATAGAATCAGGGNAACTTCTGGAAAACCCCCGCCGCATAAGCATCACATTTACGACTCGTAAACGGGCTCCGAGGTTCTTCCAGGAAACGAGTCCACGAGCACGTTGCAATAAAGGCCCTAAAAATGCCGACAACAAGCTTTTTTCCTCGACATGGGAGGAGATTGCGGCAATTCCCACCCATCTTCGGAACGCTGATGAGATAATAAAGAGTCGGATGATAGCCGGCAATTCTGGCAAACAAACAGCTTAAGAAGTATCCCAGTTGCCACCCGCAATGAACCCAGAAAAAAAAACCCTTTTCCTTGATCAGGGAATGGAACACGGGCTATAAGCACTATTACGGCCCATCACGGCAAATCTTGGCAATAAAACTCACACGATGTGTTGTGAGAAGGGCAGAGGAAAAAAAATATTTACAGTTATACGCGAACACGAGTCTTATCCGCGTTAATCAAAACTGCGACGATTCAAATCCTCGAGTTCATCGATAAAAGAAAACTGTCGATTCTTTGAATTTAACAAAATTCAAGTTCTTCCGGGATAATGCTTAGCCTACAGCGCATTTGTAGAGACGCACTTAGTCCACTTGTAAATTGCAAAAAAGCTTGCGTTGCTTTTTTACAAAATTTGTGGTTACGTCAAGTGGCTAGGTTAGTTATACAGTACCTGACGTACTAGTTAAGGCTAGGGATGAATATACAGTATGTTAGGCAATAGGTCCCGTTATTCGCAATTCAGGCATTAAATTAAGTGAAGTGTGGGCTGTTCATGCTGCTATACTCGAAACGTATGCAGAACAGTGCATGAATTAAAAATGATAACGACTAGTGACAGTATCAACTGAAATCTATCAAATATTGCTACCATGTCCATGCTTTTGCGCCAAATGTTGCCCCGACGAAGCCTCCGTGAGAAGGGCAAACAAAATTGGGACGAGATGGTAACACTGGAGCACCAGATTCAATCAACTGAACCCATCCCTCCTCCCCCTCTTTCTCGTCCAACTTTCCTTCACCCCAGATGAGGAGGAAAAAAAACCTTTTCATCGATCGCCGCAAGCAGAGCGAAGCGATAAGTGAGCTAACCCGTAACCGGAAGGACGGATTGGGCGACAAAAACAATACAAAAAAGACCCGCATTTCCTTCATACTGCGCATGAGCACATTGAACCATAGAATCAGGGTACGACAGCACCCGGATATGCGCACACATTGCACACCCTCACCATCATCGCGGGAAGTATGGGTTCGACCAAATGAGTCTCACACTTCTTCCCGTTCACAAGGAACAAAGGGGGAGCAGATTGGAAGAGGAGCTCGGAAATATTTGCATAATTTCTAGATACATTTTTTAGGGCACAAATGAAACAGGGGAAAAGTCATTACAAGGGGACTAGATATCGAAGCTCATTAAAATGCAACACGGCGAAGAATACTTGTAAAAAAGTGCACCACGGAAACCAGCGCTCACATGGAAAGGATCTTACGAGGTTTTAGAGATGACCACACAAGAATAACGCCGCACGCACTTGGCTTAGAACTTAAATCACTAAACATTAATTGAGTCATAATCAAGTCTAATTAACCCAATTGAAATTCTTCTGGAAGTACCGACAGCAACCTAGCAAGCTTCAATGGATTAGGGGGGATTCCACAACCCACCAGACCTGGTTCAATATTTCAAATAACGATTAACATCCACGCCGAGGATCCAAAATCCTGTGCCAAATTTTCGTGAAGAGAACAGTCAATTTTCTGTATTTTCACATGGATGAAAGAAATCATACGTTGAAATTATGCACTAAGTGACGAGGTTTTCACTCCGAGATAACATCATCATATCTGCAATTACGTGAGCTCTTCCGGATTTCAATTTCACACAAGGAACATAATCACACGAACACGTTCTTCACAGAAAATAAACGTGTCTCGACATTTTAGTTAGAACGTCAGCTGAAAAATGTTGATGTCGTCTTCTCAACTCATCAAGGCTTCATTCACGCACATGGATATAAATAAAAAACTTTGCATCCATGATTCACACTTCGATTTCAAATTTCAAATTAAAATTGCAAAGTATTAAATAATTACACATGCAAGTTATTCTTCCTTAGAAAACCGGGTTAATTGCGGCGTGACACGCGCAAGGAATATCCCTTGGTCACCGTAATTTTTCTCCAATTTTCCGATGTTGCAACGCGAAATTAACTTTCCGACACTTCCTACAATCTGCAGTGCAAATTCCAACGGTTTCTCAGTATCTGAAAATTGTTTGACACATGTTTAAAAAAACGAACGGTCCTTTTCCTAAGATGTAAAAAAAAACTTAGATTCCCAACGACGTTATTTTCCTGTTTTCCTCTCGGAAAAGCGGATCTGCCGATTCGCTCCGCAAGCTTCCAGCTACACGGCGGAAAACTCGGGCAACACTGAACGCGACACGCAGCAGTCTGAATTGAATTTCCCTGTGCGCGGGACGGGACCTGGGTTCTTCTCCCTACCCATACACACACACGCGCGCGCGGAAAACCATGGCAGAGGGGGAAGGAAGTGAGTGAGTATGTGTGTGTGTGTGTGCGAATGAGAGAGAGAGAGACGAATACCCGCATCTTTTGAATTGGAGCTCGGGCGTTCGACACGGCAGTGCGCGATCAATAAGGACCCCCATGGTGCTCATGCGAATCCTACATGATATACACACGCTGGGGGCCAACAGCTGCGACCGATTCGCCACGACCCAACCAGGCAAATTCGACGTACGCACCACGCCAAAGCAGAGTTACCGAGAGGACTGAAAAAAGTATCATCAATCGGAACGAGAGAGATAGCTTTAACTCTTCCGCATATTCGGTAATGCGCAAAAATTGATGCGTTCAGTAAGGGTACGGTGCCATATTTACGTGAATATGAGCACTCCCTTTTCCGAATTTTAGAAGCTCAAAAACTAGCGGGGGAGTGCATATATACGCATATTTAATCAATTCGCGGAAAATATACGTCTACGTGAGGAAACATTCCAGTTCGCAGACCAATAAACGTTCCAGCACTTCTTTTCTTCAGATCTTTGATAATGGAATTTTTAAAATCGAGAAATGGTCAGCTTTTAGCACTTCAATGTACATGAGTCATTGACTAAACGAGAAGAGCAAGAAGCGTGTGACACCATTTTTAATTTTCTGGGTAAAACCTAAATTTAGTCGGAAATTTTAGTTTCCTAAAAGTAAGAACACCAGGAAAGGGAGTGGGTGCTCATATTCGCCCATCAATGGAATTTTGATTTTTAGCATGAAAAATCTAGGGGCTTGCTTATAATCGCGTAAATAAGGTACTGAACATCTCGAATGCCGGCAAAAATCTGCGAAAGTTTATGCTCTCCCAAAGTTCGTTCGTCGGTTTTATTTTTCAAGTCACATGACCGATGTGCTATCCAACTTGTGTGCATGGTTACGAACATAATTTTTGACGATTTCTTGGCCAGAATTGACCGATTTTTTTCATCCTGGTCGTTGTGAAGAGAAGATAAAAGAGTCGTAAGTCCGCCACATCACTGTGAAGAAAAAGGTGTTCATGTCACATTTAAATGCAGCATGAATTCTGATGCTGCCAAATAAAAAAATAAATAAATTGAGGATCTTCACACATAAATTTTTCAGATCTAACTCATGTTCAACAATGAAATTTTTCTGATTTTAGTCATTACTGTGATGCTAAGTGTGAGGCTTTTCAAGAAACATTTATTGGTGAGCAAGATCATGCGCAAGTTGCGGCTGTCATTGATCCCAGATAAGTTAAATTACTGTACTTAACTAGATGGCATCTAAGTAACATACGCGGGTATTAAACGAAGATAATTAAGAAACATTTATTGGTGAGCAAGATCATGCGCAAGTTGCGGCTGTCATTGATCCCAGATAAGTTAAATTACTGTACTTAACTAGATGGCATCTAAGTAACATACGCGGGTATTAAACGAAGATAATGAGCTGAAAAACCAACGTTCGAATCATTCCCGTGTACCACTCAAAATGTAAGACAAACTTATCGCTAATCGGAAATTCTCAGTGAAAATTCCATGAACGATATCGTGAGATCTTTAGCTGAGTTGCGTTCAATTCAATTATGACTGATGATGATTAATTCGATTATATTTAATCGGTTGAAAAATAAAATGACACGCTCGAGGGAACAAATAAAGGACTGCATTCATTCGATTTCCGTCGCAGTTGGGAGATCAAATAGAAATTAAATACGATTCCACCACTCCCAAAATTGAGTTCTGGGGCAATTTTCGAAAATTGAAGCTATCAATTATTAATAAATATTGTATTGCTTCTTCTGTCACATGATTTTTACTCAGAAACCCAAATGGAAAAACGGGACTATATTCAAGCCATCGGGTACATATTTTCGTATCATTATTCGAATTCATTTTACCAGAACTATACTCAGCTTTAACGCTGGAATCATTCAGAAGTACTGTAATTACGAAGCACAAACAGGAGAAATTTAACGATAAACCCCCCCCCCCCCCAAATTCGTCTTGAAAGAGGACAAGGTTTATTGGTTTGAAGAAAGAAAGAAAACCTAGCTTGGAGATGAAAGCTCAAATGCTGCCTTCCAAGCCTTGAAAAACTCAGCGGATTCCGAGAAAGGCGGAAAAAAACGCCACCCGCAGCGCCGTAACTTGGTAACACTCACCACACACTCGAACCCATAGAAGAACGCTAAACTCAACTCACACATGTCCCGGTGTCGAAACATGACCTTCCACGATCTCCTTTCACCTAGCTAATGGAAACCTAGGTGAACCGCCCCTCGCCAAAAGGCAACCCGGGTTCACTAAATAAACCACGGTCCCAGGTGGAAATCATTCTTTCCGAATGCCCATACAGTATATTCGAAGCTATTCCGTGAGAAGAACAGGCGGGGGTACGGATAAGATTTATTTGAATGGAAACGCACCACGAGGTCTACTGCATCCCACC